ACTGATTTATCTCGTTCAAATTGCACCGTGATATACGTTCAGTAATGCCTTAGATATAAGTCATATAGGACATACATATTTTATCTCATAGACTCACTGACACTCACTTTTCTAAGTCTAGTGTTTTGTCAGAAGGCCATACATTATAACAACGGCAATGTTTTCAAAGGATGAGTGCACGATTTGTAAAGCCATTCTATCACTCGTTCCTCCGATGACAATTGACGATACCGAACAAAAATCCTCGGTCTCGGATTTTTGCTCTTAAAGACTCCAGGAACGAGCGAGATACTACCGGTTTCTGTAGTTTGACTTCGTAAAGTTTTCATACTTGAACTGCCTTCGAAGTCTCTAGATGGAATACCGGTGGAGCTCGCTTCCGGGGTCAATCCCGACGCTCTTCGTGAAGTTGTGTGTAACTGAGAAGTTCTTGGACGCGAGCTTGTACTTATATTTGTCACAGATAGTCTTTGCTGTGGTGTTCTGGTAAAGATGTAGCCTTTCTTATCTTGCGTATATTGAAGCGCCCTTGAAACCCGGGTAGGAATCGTACCAGCATCGGTCTTCACGCGATACGTCGGTAAGATGCACACCGACTTGGGTCGTTGCTTGATCGGCCACATAGAATGTCCAGTCCTTGATGCTATGCTACTCGATGTATTTTGTATTGCAGTTAAATATATTTTAGTAGACTCCATCGACAGTAGCTCACTTCGTCCTTCTCAACAGCCAAATTCCATCGCGATATCGACGTGCAATAATTCGTTGTCAAATAGTCGTATCGTCTGGATCATCGATTATACCGTTATACTAAAAAAAGCCACAGTGTCCGTAGGTGTTTCAATGAAGTCCTGTGCGGGGAAAATTAAGTTCTTCTCGAATCTTTACAAGAGTCATTTACACCAAACATCACAAGTATGTTGTTCGATTGTTGACGCAGTAAAATATCCCCAGGTGAAATAACAGACTGACTTCATGACACGAATCCTTTGTCACTACAATTGTCTTGCAATTTTTCACATGACTGGTTGCCAAGGGAAACTACAATAAGTAATCAATCATGGATACCTTCTTTACCAAGGATACCGAGCTTGTTCATATCTCAGGGATTCTTCTAGACACAGAGCAATAAAGTAATTGGGAGAAGATTTCTGATTTTCAGGGGAAAATAATTTTGCTCATCATTTTCTGATCATGAGGATTCTAGCCTTTAATAGGGTTGTAACATGTCGGCCCTTGACACTTTTCTCTGAAGCAACAGACCATGTAATTTTAATTACAAGACTGAGAGCGTAAAAAGAGTGTACTTAGCGCCTTTACAAAGAGCTCAAGTTTTAATTAGCGCCCGCTAGTAGTAAGCGCTCTCGACTGGAATCGCTAGCCCCGTCCCGTTTTCTACGTAGTCGAAAGTGCGGATTCTTTTATAGCATTCACAAGCAGATTCTGACCTAAGATTGGACGAGGGAGCCGAGATTTTGCGAAAAGAAAGAAATCATGTCAAAGAAAAAAAACTACAGGCTATCTAGGTAACTCATCAGTCATCAACGTCATCAAAAGAGGATGAGGGTAAGAGAGTTAATACCTCTCTAGGCNAGGTGATGAATACAACAACCATGATTCCTTGCAAGCAAGCCTCCTCAAGGGAATTGGCCATTCTAACCTCTATCATTCGACAGGACGTCCTTTTGTATCTATAATTCTGTTTTTTATATATATTCATTTAGAAATAGTTTCCTTAGTCATGGTCATTACCATTTCCCAAGACTATACTCCTTTGTTTACGCTTATAAAACTTCACGACTCAACTCCTACCAATCCAGATAAATATCAGCTTAAGCTTATGTCTGTATTAAATTTATACATGAGCTTAATTACGCACTCGGTACTTGCAAGGATTTGCAATTGAAATGCAACATTGATTCCATGAAATCCTACCAAATAAGGTAGCAAATATTCGTAAAAGAAAATCAAGCAAAAATCTACCCAATTTTTGCTTCCCGAGGTGCGTTTCTTCCCTAGCAACATTACGACGCCTCAAAATAAATAACTCAGACTGCGATTTTACGATATTTTATAAGAAAAAACAAAGCGATTATGAGCACCGTATACCTCAGAAACACGGTAAATTAAAAAGCAATCATTGATGAAGGATCTGTAAATGATTCTGGTGTTTCTATCGAGTGATTAGAAGTCATTTGATGTTGAAGTTTGCAAAGTTCCTACCTGAGTTGTTGTTACAGGCGCCATTTTGATCATTGACAGCAAATATTCGTACTAGTGCCCAGGGAACCTCCGCCTAAAGCCTTCCGCTAGACCTAGTCCTCCCGGCCTTTGGACTAAAAGGAGTAAGAGGGGTGTTTGTTTGTTTCTGGATGTGAACATCGTTTGATTACACCGCTTCAGTTATAGGTTTGAAATGTTATTCTCTTCACTTAACGAGGATTTGGAGTTGTGACAACAATAAAGAAAAAGCCCGAGGTAGATAAAAAGGTTTGAGAACCAGTACACCCTGGTAGTACACAACCATTCAGTTCGTTGGACTGGCGCGAGACTAGAGGAGGTTGGCGACACCAAAATCATTTTTTTAGCACTACGCACAAGATACAGAGTTGGAAAACACGACAGCCTTCTGTTTAGCCTGCTGGATCCTGGATCGAGCGCGAGCGATTCGGATTCGCACCCTGGCCGGGATCATTGCATAAGGCATTTACGTTCACGGTACCTCTCTTAAAAAAATAGCGAAAAATAGGGACTACATTTGCAGTTTCATTGCCACACATAGCGGGTCATCAACAGAATTTGTAGTTAAGGTTGGTTTCGGTCGTTTCAATATGATCACTGACAATGGGTGTCACCATGAATCTTGTAGCGGCGTATTCGTAGACGCGTGAGGAAGGAGGCTCGCGTGACTAAGCACTGGCTCCCTATTGTTAGATTGTGTCTCTAGCGATCCCCAGCAAATCAGCAAGCTAGGAAAACTGTTAGAGACAAGACGGGCCAACTTTGAATATTACTTAACTTGTGGTCTTTTTGCATAATTTACTGGCTATCTTTGTCTCACGCGCGATTTGCAAAACAAATAAATTAACAAAAAGTTCTACCCCTAAATAAGGACCAATTATTCTTTAATTAAATTCTCAACGCCGACTGATTTATCTCGTTCAAATTGCACCGTGATATACGTTCAGTAATGCCTTAGATATAAGTCATATAGGACATACATATTTTATCTCATAGACTCACTGACACTCACTTTTCTAAGTCTAGTGTTTTGTCAGAAGGCCATACATTATAACAACGGCAATGTTTTCAAAGGATGAGTGCACGATTTGTAAAGCCATTCTATCACTCGTTCCTCCGATGACAATTGACGATACCGAACAAAAATCCTCGGTCTCGGATTTTTGCTCTTAAAGACTCCAGGAACGAGCGAGATACTACCGGTTTCTGTAGTTTGACTTCGTAAAGTTTTCATACTTGAACTGCCTTCGAAGTCTCTAGATGGAATACCGGTGGAGCTCGCTTCCGGGGTCAATCCCGACGCTCTTCGTGAAGTTGTGTGTAACTGAGAAGTTCTTGGACGCGAGCTTGTACTTATATTTGTCACAGATAGTCTTTGCTGTGGTGTTCTGGTAAAGATGTAGCCTTTCTTATCTTGCGTATATTGAAGCGCCCTTGAAACCCGGGTAGGAATCGTACCAGCATCGGTCTTCACGCGATACGTCGGTAAGATGCACACCGACTTGGGTCGTTGCTTGATCGGCCACATAGAATGTCCAGTCCTTGATGCTATGCTACTCGATGTATTTTGTATTGCAGTTAAATATAGTTTAGTAGACTCCATCGACAGTAGCTCACTTCGTCCTTCTCAACAGCCAAATTCCATCGCGATATCGACGTGCAATAATTCGTTGTCAAATAGTCGTATCGTCTGGATCATCGATTATACCGTTATACTAAAAAAAGCCACAGTGTCCGTAGGTGTTTCAATGAAGTCCTGTGCGGGGAAAATTAAGTTCTTCTCGAATCTTTACAAGAGTCATTTACACCAAACATCACAAGTATGTTGTTCGATTGTTGACGCAGTAAAATATCCCCAGGTGAAATAACAGACTGACTTCATGACACGAATCCTTTGTCACTACAATTGTCTTGCAATTTTTCACATGACTGGTTGCCAAGGGAAACTACAATAAGTAATCAATCATGGATACCTTCTTTACCAAGGATACCGAGCTTGTTCATATCTCAGGGATTCTTCTAGACACAGAGCAATAAAGTAATTGGGAGAAGATTTCTGATTTTCAGGGGAAAATAATTTTGCTCATCATTTTCTGATCATGAGGATTCTAGCCTTTAATAGGGTTGTAACATGTCGGCCCTTGACACTTTTCTCTGAAGCAACAGACCATGTAATTTTAATTACAAGACTGAGAGCGTAAAAAGAGTGTACTTAGCGCCTTTACAAAGAGCTCAAGTTTTAATTAGCGCCCGCTAGTAGTAAGCGCTCTCGACTGGAATCGCTAGCCCCGTCCCGTTTTCTACATAGTCGAAAGTGCGGATTCTTTTATAGCATTCACAAGCAGATTCTGACCTAAGATTGGACGAGAGACCCGAGATTTTGCGAAAAGAAAGAAATCATGTCAAAGAAAAGAAACTACAGGCTACCTAGGTAACTCATCAGTCATCAACGTCATCAAAAGAGGATGAGGGTAAGAGAGTTAATACCTCTCTAGGCCAATCCATCAGGAGGAGAGAAGTATAGGCTGGTTTTCACTAGAGCATAAGCACAAGCACAAGCATAAGCATAAGCACAAGTGAAAACAGCCGCGAAATAAACATGAGCATAAGCAGAAACATAAGAAGAACGAACCCACTTATTTGTCTTGTGCAGTTTTCACTAGTAACGAGCTCAGCATAAGCATAAGCATAAGCACAAGAAAAACGGACAGTTCCGTTTTTCTTGTGCTTATGCTTATGTTTATGTCGAGCGTGTTGCTGGTGAAAACTGCACAAGACAAATAAGTGGGTTTGTTCTTCTTATGCTTCTGCTTCTGCTTACGTTTATGTCGCGACTGTTTTCACTTGTGCTTATGCTTATGCTTGTGCTTGTGCTTATATATGCTCTAGTGAAAACCAGCCTTATAGAAATGGCAGGACAGGCCTAGCCGGTTTACACTTATCTTCGCCCCTAAGGAAAATATCTGCGCGTGCGCAACAGACGAGGTAACATATCCAAGGGCGGAGTGGATACCAGGTCTAAAAATAACTTGAAAGAACTACCTCCCCTGCCTCACGGTCTGTTAGGGGATTCAGTCTATTGCCCTTCATTCTTTCCTAGTTTTGAGACATTGAAATAGTTATGCTCGATCTTCTTCGCTTTCTCGAGTCCGGTCTTCCCTCACTGAGAATTCCAGTAGCATGTTAGTCTTTCCAGTGTTAGATTTGTCCAGTAAGGTGATCTTTTTGTTAGGCAATGTTCCAAACCCTATTTAGGCTGATGGTCGCGCAACTAGCTTTAACTGTTTCTTTTGTTTTTCTTGCTCGTTTGCTCATGTTAACATTGGGGCGGAACATTGCTACGCCGATGAAACAAATCTTTGCCGACGTCTTACAACCTTGCCAACCAAGATTTTAAACCGGCACATTGGTGCTACCTCTTAAATTTCGTTTCGTTTTATTTGGAGCTCTGTCGTGTGCTGTCGTGAACACGTTAAGTTGTTTTAACAGTTGTCGTGAATCGTACCAACTGTCCTAAATTGATCTGAGTAACAGCTATCACGTTTTGTCGGGCAATAATTAATTACCCGTATACCTATCGCAAATTGTAATAATTAATAATGACACGCCTTCGCAATTTTTAATAATCCGATATGTCGAAAGTTGTATGACCCCACATGTAATGTCGTACCCTTAAAACGGCGTGTGTCAAATAAGTAGTCATCATATTTTCTCTTGTCTCTCAACTCTTAAAATCCGTCACAAATGTCGTAGTTTTAAAAAAGCTCATGTCAGAGTCAGCATCATTTCATCTTTAAAGTCTTATTAAATTCCGGTACAAATGTTCCAATAGTGGTAAGCGAAAGGAATACACACCAAAAGAATGCGCGAGCCTTCACACTTTCGATAATTACGAAAAAAAATTCTCCGCTTCTCATGATTCTGACTGCAACAACATGTTACCTAACCCTAACCCTACTGCCTAAGCATAACATAGAATTAGAGGCCATTACTGCTTAGATCACAAAATCTTAATTTACCTGTTATTTGCCAAAAAAGAAAAAAAAAAAAAAACACTTTAATAGCTGACACAATTACTGGTAACCCAGTAGTTTACATTGTGGGCTATATAAAAAAANCTAGAGACGGTAAAATGTTCACGGTCTGAATTACTTTGTGAAAAGTTGTCCACGAAAAAACGAAATTTGTGGATAACTGCTCATTCTCATTTGAAAGACTTTCCACAAAACAGGATAATATGTTATTTATATTTGCGATAGGTGCACCCGTTATTACAAACGATGACAACTTAGGATAGATATCAGCACAAGTACACTCAGTACTCAAAGGAGCAATTTCGCCTAATTAATTTTTTTGGAATCCAATATAAATAAACAAAAGCAGTTTTCTATTGGTTTTTCTACGTTTAAGAAATGCCAGCAATTTTTTTTCTCGCTACACAATTGCTCGTTAAAAATTACCTCGAATGATAGTTAAGTCATAAATTTGTGTTTCAACTGTGCCTCTGGAACAGCGTTCGAGGCAAGTTACCCTTGTGTCAAACGTACTGCCAAGGGGTTCTCCCGAGAGCGAGAAACTTGCGCTTTGCTACAACACGTCCCCCAGAGGGCCCAAGCGGAACACAGCAGTCTTGTCGAACCGGCTTGACAACGTGAAGTGGACAATGAATTTAAAGCATATATTTTTTACTTGCGCAGGCTCGTTTTCTGTATTTTTCCTTCCGATCCCTTCAGGCTTGCTGTATTTCAAGGAGTATCATTAGTTAGAGAGAGTTGATTTTACAAAGAAAAATTCATGTCCAGGAGGCAGAAGCAACAAGGAGGACCAAGGAGGACCAAGGAGAAGAGTTTGTCGTATATATACAGAAGAACATGTTCAGCCTAGCTTAGATTTTACATTGGTCTACATTCTCTGTAGTTGCTACTTCCAAGTGCTGGACGACGCTCTTTTTGTTTGAAAACTTATAAAAGTTTTGGGATGCGCGTTCAGTATAACTTTTCCGGGTAGCAAAACTGATTGGATCTGTACAGTCTTGTTTTGGCATATTAGCAACTATTAAGCACAAGAGACCATGATTTCTTGTCAAGCACTAGTACCGTTGCATTCCGCTCGTGAATTTTCACCCAGTATTACATGTAATTATAACAAGCGTCAAAACAACGATTCGGAAGCTCTTTCAAACAATGATCTAATACTTTCTTTATCTTCACTCTCTGATCTTTCACCAACCAATGGTCGCGAATTTGAATTATCAAATCTTCAAAGCTCTGAACTGTAGCAATGATGCGAGTGTTCAAGGAAAAACAAAATATTTGAAATATTTGTTTTGAGAACTTCTCCTTGCCCGAGGCGATACAGATTAGGGAAAACGCGCAAGTCGTAAACATGCCGCTTACATGATTCAGTTTGGCGGTTTAGAGTCAGTATGCATGGCGTTAAACTGAATTTCATTTGATCATGACAGCTATAAATTGGGGAGGTATTTTGAACCATTTCTTTTATAATCTTGAAGCTTATGGGTTCTTTCTGTGTGGTAGGCCACGATCAGCGTGCAACGATTGCGTAAACTAACAATGATCAAACTTAAGATAATTTAAAATTGGCTTTTAATGCCACCGTGTGATAGTAAAAAAAGAAACAGAAACATAACCTGCTTTTACAAATAAAATTCTCTTGTTTTCCCAGTGTGCTTTCATAAGGTTATCGTTTCCCAGTTGGTGCCAGGAAATTACATGATAGAATTTTCAGATTGCTTGATTTGTTGTTGATTTTTAATAGTGAAGACAACTTGACTGAAAATCCATGCCTCCATTTTGTGCATTTTCTTACATCAAGGGGTTAAAAATAGGTTTTCATGGAGGCACCTGCTACCAAAATCTTTTGCGTTAAAAGCAAATCAGTTTTTTTTTCTTATGACGCAAATTTTTACCATGGTTACCGATCAGAGCGGACCACTAAAATCATGCACTTTATTATCGTTATCAAATAAACACCCCTTTCTGCTTGTCGATTTCATTGTTAGAGGGCCAAACACATCCACAGAATACTGACAACATACGCATTAAAATTTAAAGAAAAGAATCTGCCCCCACAGCCCATGTAAATCCCGGTCTTCTTACGTGGTCCAGATTTTCACTTCGACCAGAAATTTTCAGTCGTTCTGCTTGTAATTCAATTATCTATTTCGTGATCTTTTGCCTTCAGACCGAAAAATTTCCTTGTCTTACGTTTCGTTTTAATTAATTTTTACTAAATACTTTTCTAGGGAAGAGGAGAGATTTCTCGAAACGAGTTTTCTTGAGGAAGATTTTCTTGGGTATGTTTTTTTTTTGTCTTAGAGAAAATGAATTATTGAAAATCGAACGAATGCGCAAATTGAAGATCAATTATTCCTAGCTAAACCAACTGTTCCTCTACGCGCGATCTGATTGGTTGGCGCGAATCACTGACAGAAGGATTCTCCCTCGCATTTTCCATCGCCATGTTGTGGAGTTGACGGGTTTCCGAAAATGTCATTGCTTCTTCTTCTAAAAACCTGTTCAAATCTTCGAGGAAGATCTGACCGAATAGCCAGGGTCACTTTCAGAGGTATGTAGTTTAGAAATATTCTAGAATTAGCGGTTGTCAAAGGCTTGAATGATCTGAACAAGTTTTCTTGTCGAACGCGGTGAAGTTTGTTGGCGGGCTTCGACTGCCGCTTTTTGTCTTATCTACCTTTCTCGCTATTTTAAGTGATTTTATACAGTTGTAGTTTCGAAATTGCTATTTCTATCGATTTGAAATTATTCCGAAGAATTTGCTGCTTTTTCCTGGACTGGTTTATCTGTTTTGGCTGGTGAATTTTCCTTAATTATTCAAGTTTTGTAGTTCTGCTTAATTCTGCGTTTGGCTTTTATACGCGGATGCGCTCGTTGGAGGTACCCTCCTTTCTGTCGATTTTTTATTCATCACAGTGAAGAACTCCGCTAAAACTCGATTCAGTCGCTTTATATTTATTAAAAAAGTTTGGTTTGACGGTGAAAACACATATGTATACGTCTGTTTATATTCTGGCATTGATATTTATCGAGTTGACATCAATTTTATATTCGGCAGATTTTTTTTTCAAATTAACTTAGACAAGTACTATTCGATTTGGTGGAAAATGTGGCAGTCATTTTTTGATACGAAACTTTCGTATTATAAATATACGAAGGATCTTCGGAGTTTTCCTCGCTAGTTTCTCAAGTATTCTTTCCTTCCGTAAACTGATCGCATTCGACGATCGCTCAAGCGTGCAGTTCAACATAGTTTGGATTTCTTTGACGTTTCGCGGAAATTTTCATATTTCAGAAAAAAAAAATGTTTCACCGGTTTGACATAAGTGAAAATTTTCGTCATTCATCAAGGCCTCATAAGCTCATTTCGTAATTGTTTTTGTGACAAAGATTGTGATTGTTGGTCAGTCGAGAAAATGTCCTCGAACGCTTCCGGAATAAATATGGCGGTTGTCTTCACTTGCGATTATATCTGATGTTTCAGCGTTGAACCTATTTTGTGCAAGGCGACGAGGTCTGATTCTGTTGTAATAAAAAATAGTTTTCCTGTTTATAAAAAGGTGTCTTACTTGATTCTGTCGGCAGGAAGTATAGATCGTGAGAATTTCTTAGAGTGTATCATAATTCCTATTGTGTAAACAGATTGCAAATATAATTTTCTCTTTGTGTCAAACTTTTTAGCAAGCCTGAGAAAGCGTACGATCTAGCGAAAAACGAATAATTATTTCAGTTACTTTTTGTTATAGGGGTATCATAAGCTAGTTTTAAGGTGTAGAGTATATTATTTGAGGTTGTAATAATTCTAGATTTTATAAAATTTGGAAATATACGAAAATTACATCCTTACCCTCTCTTAAGTTATTTATCATGGTGATAAATTTATAGACTGCAGTGCTATACAAGAAAGACAATAGACAATGTCTCAGATTACATTATTTGTTGTTCATCATCTTGTGAACATAAAGGGGCTTATCTTTGTTGATACTGATTGCGCTATGTGTACTTTGAATTTAAAACAGTGAATCGTTAGCAAGTGATGTCTTTTCAAAGGTTTTCCAAGAAATCAAAATGACATATATTACTTAACAAAAAAAAAATTGTGGTAGTTTTGCATGATTGATGAGATTGAAATTCCAAGTGCTGATTACAGATCAGTAATGCTCAGTAGTTTTGTGTGCTGTGCTAATCATAATGCCGCAGATTAATTTATTCAAGGCATTTAATTGCGAGAAGTGGTGAGTAATCAGCTAAGACTCTCTAGTTGTTTAATGGATACTTATCAATTCCAGTCTACATAGATCACTTCCTCTGAAATTTTTTAATGCTACTAATATACAAACAAAGACTTGCCAATTGAAATCTTTTAATGAAGTGTGACATTCTTGTCTATTTCTAAGCAACTACAGTGACTCTTCTGGGGTAAATTGTAAAATTTAAGTGGAATGGAAGTAACAATGTATATATAGGTTATTGACCAGGCGTGAGGTCAAAATGGCTGGATGTTGGCCAAGATCTTTTTTTTTTGCGTGTTTATGACCGAAACATAGTTGAGGTCAATAAACTCGCAAAAACAGAACAAGGCTGATATCAAGCCATCTTGACCGAACAAGCTTGGTCAATAATGGATTTATTATACGGCTTTCGGGGAATTTTTTCTTGCTGGACACAGTGGGTGGTCCCAAGAAGGTAAGATAGTTCTAGCTTTCCCACTCGGATAGCCAATCACAGGGCAGGATTTGGTTCATCTTGCCCACTTAGAGAGCTGGCCATGTAATAAATATGACTTATTGACCAAGCTTGAGGTCAAGATAACTGGATAATGGCCAAGTTCCTTTTGCATAGATCCAAGTCCATAAACACGCAACAAAATGAAGCCAGCATCAGTGATCTTCACCAAGCAAACTTGGTCCACGAAGTGTTTATTATATGCACATTAGAACATGATTGGTCTATTGAGTGGGCAAGATAACCCTAACTTGCCTGCTTGGGTTGTCAATCACAGTGCAGGATTCAGTTCACCTTGCTGAACTAACCATATAATAACATACAAGGTTCAAGCTATATCATGTTTAAGACGAAGTCTTGAATTTTGACCTAACACAGACAGCAGATTGTTCCTTGGAAGCATTTACAGTTTTCAAAGAGAATATAAGTCAGTTAACATACTAGACCATATTAGCAGGATATTATATTCATAGTATCTGCACTACTCTAAAGCCAGTTTATATTTTGCTTGTTTCCTTACAGGAGTGACTTACCAGACAAGTGTCATTGAAAACTGCTCTGAAGCTGATTGGGATGAGGTTGGTTGATTCACTATCTTAATCTGATGCTCAATAGACTAATTCTCTGTACTGATTACATGTCAAACATTTTTTGATTGTTAGTTTGGAGAATTTCCCAGTATATCAAGACAATACATGTTTATTACCTAGTTGATAATTTTCTTTGATCTGCTTAGCAGTGTACATAATTATTAACATCTGAAAAATCGATTTACATGAATTTTTCTTTTAACTATGACATGTGACAGCATGCCTGTGACTTGTATTGTTTTTGTCTAAAAGGCTGACAACTTACTTGCAATACTTATTGGTGCAACAAGCTTGTGACCCAGCTTGTTGTAAACTGTTGTTTGTGACAATCATGAGAAAATTGAAAAAAAAAAACCAAACAACAACTTACAACAACTTACAACAACAGCAACAACAAAAGCATTGCAACATTTAGTTTAGTCCTGAAAAGGAATTTGATGCAGGTGAAACCTCTAAGATTATCCCTGTATAGTAGTGTTTATGAGGCTAGACCTGAGCAAACTTTGTTCTCATATAATTTGTCAAACAGGACTTTGAGTGGCCCTTGGAAAGTCCACTGGACCCCAGCGAGTTCATCGAAATTGAAGTTTATAACTTCAACAAAATCTTCAACAACAGGTGGGTTGATTATTTAAGGTCTTCTGGATCATGTGATGTTGAATGCATGTGTTAACACTAACAATTTTTATTGCATTTCCTGACATATGAATACCACGCTTCTAAATTATCTATACTTCTGATGACACATACCGTTGAAAGTTACCATGTCATGATATTTTAATTTTCAGACTGGTTGGAGTATTCCGCATGGTACTCCAAAAACTCATACAAGATGGCCACCTAGAGGTTAGGGAAAGTCTCATAGACATGAATAACACAGTGCTAAAGGTGAGACTGGAGTCTAGAAAAAAAAAAAGAAAATGGGAAAAATAAATTAAAACGAAAAAAAAGTGGAATAATATCAATTACATGTAGGAATACAATGTGCACAGAAAGTCAAAGGTTTGACTCCTGCCCCCGGAGGATCTCAGAATAGCTTGACTAGTTAATATCTTTCTTATATGAAACTTATAATAAGCAAATACCATGATATTTCTTTCCTAGCTTATATTATTACCTATTGACATATTCAATTCCAGCATTGCACAGGATGTGTGTCACATTTGAAACTATGTTGTACTTATATGGCCTAGATCCCATAAGTCTTCAGCCAGTAACTCAGTAGTAGAGTACTGCACCAATGTATGAATGGTCATACAGACATAGTTTTGTCTCTTCCTGGAAGAACTCGCAAATTTTTTCCTGAGTAGTTCGTGTCACTGACAAATTATAGACCACATTCATGAAATTCCATCTACATAACATTTACTTTATCTGACAAATAGCTCTTGCCACAAATATCATTTTTGCCAAAATTCAAGATTTAGTTAAGGTCAGATTCTTCCCCATCACAGGGTTAACCCCCCTTTTTCCATGGCTTTCTGCCCTTGCAAGGAAATAACAATTTGCATTATGCTAGGCAAATGCTTACCTTGCTTATAATTAATTTATACAAATTCCAATCTCAGGCAACTGTTGATCTGGAGTTACAGTACAATCCCCCAGAAGGAAATGTGTCCCAGTGGGTGAACAATATAAACGACACCCTTGATGCCCCGCCCCAAGTGGGTTACATGCCGGACAATCAGTATCAAATGGATCCGTACAGTCACCAGTACAGCGTTAACAGGGACACAGAAAGAAGGGGTTCATTCATGGGTAGCACATTCGGCAGTAAGGCATCTAAGAGCCAATCAATGACAAGCCTTACTTCCAGTAGTCATCGACAGCCACGCAAGGAGTCAATGCCTGCTTCCATTGGAGGGGGTGGACGGTTTATTTCCCCTGGAGATTCACCATTTGACGCAATGTTGAAGGGAAGCGAAGGGCTTGGAAGTCGCAGAGGATCACAGATCAGTATGCACAGTGACAGGAGCATGAGTATGAAGTGGTAAGTTCCTTATCCTAGTTACTGAGCACGAGGGCTGTACTAGGGAGTATTGGCCCAAGGTCATGGCAGTATGGACCCCTTAGCACAGTGAGGTCTATACAAAAATGACCAAGGGCCACTATTCCCCAATGCGGCTTAGGCAAGCTAGGTTAGTAAGAAGTTTATTACATGGCACAAAATAAAAAATACATGGTTTATGACGGCTTCCATGGAAGCAGTCGGTATCGAAAAATCCTGACCAAGAAACAACCAATCAGAATGCTCAGATTTACCTCAAGGCTACCTTGTTGTACAACAAAAGGGCTTATTACTAAACGGGGGAGGAGAGCCACCAGTGGGGTGGTTTTCCTTAGATTGTTACATGCTTTACATATTTTATGGGATGATGACACCCTAAGGAGTGTGAAGATCTGGTTGAAATGTCACTTTGAGAGGGAGTCAGGTAGGTATACCACATGTCCTCCAATCCCTGACTGAGGTAATGATACACTGTACCAAAATTGTTTTGGAAAGAAAACCATTTGCTGTTATGCTAAAAAAATTGATGTATACACTGTACACTAGGCATTGAGTACATGGGCTGATTTTCTGGCTTTCTTACACTAAATAAAATGTCCTCTGTCTTTTTTCCTTACAGCAGCCACGCCCATCCTAGAGTGCGAGCTGAAAAGAAAATGTCTGTGAGAGAACAAGACTATCAGGTTAGACTTACATTGAGGGGTTTTATTATTACTGTACTCTATACCTACTGTTGAAAAGAACTAATAGTATGTATATTTTGTGACTTAAAAAAATAATTAAAATAATAAAAACAATCTTTAAAGAGGAAGCGCCCGTCACGTAAATATGTGGTTTTCAGGGAGGTCCTCTATAAAATGGTGTACATCTAACTATGCACACAACAAGGTCTTATGTATTTAATGACATCTTTTTACAGTTTTCAGTGGCTCCTTGTGAATTGGCAAGTTTTCAATTTCTAGACAGCAGCTTGTTTTCGTGCCAGCATTCTTTTTCCTGACTTGAACATTCAAAGGTTAAATTCACTCTTAGTTTTGTGCCAGATTTGTTGGTAATTTCTCATGTTCCATTATGCACTAGATACAAATTCGTATCCTGGAGGGACGTCAACTTGCAGGTACCCAGATTGATCCTGTGTGCACTGTAAATGTTGGAAATCAAAAGAAGAGTACAACAATAAAGGAACAGACCAATTGTCCCTTCTGGGATGAGGTAAGACACATTCTCTGAACATTTGGTATAACAGTGCATGTTTGTGTTCATTTTAATTCCTTAATTTAATTTTTATTTTGTACCTATTTTCTTTTCAGTTTTTTGTCTTTGACTTCAAGATGCCTCCTATGGTGCTTTTTGATAAGATCATCAACTTCCAGGTAACTCATCTACTGCTTATTTTGTATAAGATGCTATGAAAACAGAGTGAGAGCATAAGGGGTGGGGTCTCTGCCAATGTTGCAGCAGAGTTTGCACAAGAACTGTGTTATCCACACCAAAAAGGCCAGAAAATCAGACCTACATGTAGGTTGCAAACTGAGGGAATGTCAGTACAATAGTACCTGTCTTTTATTTCCTCTCAAAAACAAACTCTCAGTTTACATAGTGCTTAAGTTCAAAAGGCACGTCAACTGCACGGCCTCTGCTGACACACAATATCACAACAACATGAATGTAACTCTTCGCTTCCATCGCTAGTGTGTGGTTTTCTGAAAATTGCAAAAAACGCATAGAGATCCACATGTTCTTCTTGAACAGCAAAACGCAAGATCTTAACTTAGAGATTGTTTACTTTGAGCCAAGAGAATGGTGTAATTCACAAATTTCCAACTGAGTCAACAGACTCATGCAATGAACACTAGCTTACGGTAGTTTGAGCACATGGTGACTAAAGCTCATGGTCACATCACATTATCCCAAGGGTATTCGGGAGTGACAGGGCGGAGAACTCAAAATCTGGAGATCATACAAAGACACCCCTGAAGTTGAAACTCTGTGGCAAATACATGTAACTAGGAGATTGCAAAAAAACTAACTTAAAACCAATATATACATTCACAGTGCTGGAAATAATTTTTCTTCTTTAACAGGACATGTGTCCTTTCAAATCTTCATTTTGGTTGGACATCTTATCAATTTGGCCGGACATTAATTTGCATAATTGATTAGCATAATTAATTAGCATAATAAAATTTATAGGCATACTGTAAAGATTTTCAATACAAATCGTTCAAAACTGCATTTCAATTTGATTTATTTATCATTTATGATTGACTAGATGAATTTATCAACTAGATGACTGCACCGGTCTCTCCTGGTTATCTCCTGGTTATATGTTCTTCAAGCAAACCTAGCTAGTTTTCTATTGAATGCTACCATTAAAGGGACACAGTCACCTTTAGGACTGCGCTGACTTCGACACTAGTTTTTTTTTTCAACCTGAAATCAAAATACATCTAGAAATCCACTTTGATCTTCGCAGTGTTTTTCTTGATTTTCAATTGTTCACTGAAAAACCTGTTTTTGAGTTTGCTTTTGCTCATCCTATGATATTATTTTTATCATATTTGGTTAAAAACAGTATGGATCGCGTCTCTGTGATATGCAAATAAGCAGTGAAATGGTATGTAATGCGCATATGCAGTGGCTGACTGTGTCCCTTTAAAGCAGGAGCCCATCACTAAGAGTGTGCAACTACCCCAATTATTCCTGTCCCGGCGTTTTCACAGTCTGATCTATTTTAAGTTTGAATTTACCGCAAATTCAGACCCCCCAGGAACCTCCGTGACCAATCACAAGTGCAGACTTCATAATTTCACCACAAGATTAGGTTGACATGTCCACCTGAGACTGCCATTTTTCTCCTTACTGATTCGTGCTCATATAAACTGGAACTGACCTTTTCAGTGGAAAAAGAAGCCTAAAAATAGACCGGTTTTTTAAAAATACCATGACACAGGCTTAGTATGGGAGTTGCAGGCTCCTAGTGATGGGCTCATGACCAAAGGTGACTCTAGGTTACAAACATAAAGTGCTAACAGCATATCGCAATGCACGTAGTACATAATAGGGTGATTTCTGAATAGTATTTTATTTGGCAAGTACAGGAAAGATGAACACTTCTGCTTTATGATATGGCAGAAGTCCATGATGGGCTCCTGGATATGGCTCAAACTGTCAGTTTCAAGGGCCCAAAATTAAAAAAAAATGTTTAGTTGCCATTTGGCGACTAAGTGATAACAATCAAGTAGGAACTTTACTCAGAAAAGAACTCAATGCATAAAATCTGTGAAGAAAAAATTTCCAAGACTTTTTTGGCTGCTAATTTTNATTCCGCATGGTACTCCAAAAACTCATACAAGATGGCCACCTAGAGGTTAGGGAAAGTCTCATAGACATGAATAACACAGTGCTAAAGGTGAGACTGGAGTCTAGAAAAAAAAAAAGAAAATGGGAAAAATAAATTAAAACGAAAAAAAAGTGGAATAATATCAATTACATGTAGGAATACAATGTGCACAGAAAGTCAAAGGTTTGACTCCTGCCCCCGGAGGATCTCAGAATAGCTTGACTAGTTAATATCTTTCTTATATGAAACTTATAATAAGCAAATACCATGATATTTCTTTCCTAGCTTATATTATTACCTATTGACATATTCAATTCCAGCATTGCACAGGATGTGTGTCACATTTGAAACTATGTTGTACTTATATGGCCTAGATCCCATAAGTCTTCAGCCAGTAACTCAGTAGTAGAGTACTGCACCAATGTATGAATGGTCATACAGACATAGTTTTGTCTCTTCCTGGAAGAACTCGCAAATTTTTTCCTGAGTAGTTCGTGTCACTGACAAATTATAGACCACATTCATGAAATTCCATCTACATAACATTTACTTTATCTGACAAATAGCTCTTGCCACAAATATCATTTTTGCCAAAATTCAAGATTTAGTTAAGGTCAGATTCTTCCCCATCACAGGGTTAGCCCCCCTTTTTCCATGGCTTTCTGCCCTTGCAAGGAAATAACAATTTGCATTATGCTAGGCAAATGCTTACCTTGCTTATAATTAATTTATACAAATTCCAATCTCAGGCAACTGTTGATCTGGAGTTACAGTACAATCCCCCAGAAGGAAATGTGTCCCAGTGGGTGAACAATATAAACGACACCCTTGATGCCCCGCCCCAAGTGGGTTACATGCCGGACAATCAGTATCAAATGGATCCGTACAGTCACCAGTACAGCGTTAACAGGGACACAGAAAGAAGGGGTTCATTCATGGGTAGCACATTCGGCAGTAAGGCATCTAAGAGCCAATCAATGACAAGCCTTACTTCCAGTAGTCATCGACAGCCACGCAAGGAGTCAATGCCTGCTTCCATTGGAGGGGGTGGACGGTTTATTTCCCCTGGAGATTCACCATTTGACGCAATGTTGAAGGGAAGCGAAGGGCTTGGAAGTCGCAGAGGATCACAGATCAGTATGCACAGTGACAGGAGCATGAGTATGAAGTGGTAAGTTCCTTATCCTAGTTACTGAGCACGAGGGCTGTACTAGGGAGTATTGGCCCAAGGTCATGGCAGTATGGACCCCTTAGCACAGTGAGGTCTATACAAAAATGACCAAGGGCCACTATTCCCCAATGCGGCTTAGGCAAGCTAGGTTAGTAAGAAGTTTATTACATGGCACAAAATAAAAAATACATGGTTTATGACGGCTTCCATGGAAGCAGTCGGTATCGAAAAATCCTGACCAAGAAACAACCAATCAGAATGCTCAGATTTACCTCAAGGCTACCTTGTTGTACAACAAAAGGGCTTATTACTAAACGGGGGAGGAGAGCCACCAGTGGGGTGGTTTTCCTTAGATTGTTACATGCTTTACATATTTTATGGGATGATGACACCCTAAGGAGTGTGAAGATCTGGTTGAAATGTCACTTTGAGAGGGAGTCAGGTAGGTATACCACATGTCCTCCAATCCCTGACTGAGGTAATGATACACTGTACCAAAATTGTTTTGGAAAGAAAACCATTTGCTGTTATGCTAAAAAAATTGATGTATACACTGTACACTAGGCATTGAGTACATGGGCTGATTTTCTGGCTTTCTTACACTAAATAAAATGTCCTCTGTCTTTTTTCCTTACAGCAGCCACGCCCATCCTAGAGTGCGAGCTGAAAAGAAAATGTCTGTGAGAGAACAAGACTATCAGGTTAGACTTACATTGAGGGGTTTTATTATTACTGTACTCTATACCTACTGTTGAAAAGAACTAATAGTATGTATATTTTGTGACTTAAAAAAATAATTAAAATAATAAAAACAATCTTTAAAGAGGAAGCGCCCGTCACGTAAATATGTGGTTTTCAGGGAGGTCCTCTATAAAATGGTGTACATCTAACTATGCACACAACAAGGTCTTATGTATTTAATGACATCTTTTTACAGTTTTCAGTGGCTCCTTGTGAATTGGCAAGTTTTCAATTTCTAGACAGCAGCTTGTTTTCGTGCCAGCATTCTTTTTCCTGACTTGAACATTCAAAGGTTAAATTCACTCTTAGTTTTGTGCCAGATTTGTTGGTAATTTCTCATGTTCCATTATGCACTAGATACAAATTCGTATCCTGGAGGGACGTCAACTTGCAGGTACCCAGATTGATCCTGTGTGCACTGTAAATGTTGGAAATCAAAAGAAGAGTACAACAATAAAGGAACAGACCAATTGTCCCTTCTGGGATGAGGTAAGACACATTCTCTGAACATTTGGTATAACAGTGCATGTTTGTGTTCATTTTAATTCCTTAATTTAATTTTTATTTTGTACCTATTTTCTTTTCAGTTTTTTGTCTTTGACTTCAAGATGCCTCCTATGGTGCTTTTTGATAAGATCATCAACTTCCAGGTAACTCATCTACTGCTTATTTTGTATAAGATGCTATGAAAACAGAGTGAGAGCATAAGGGGTGGGGTCTCTGCCAATGTTGCAGCAGAGTTTGCACAAGAACTGTGTTATCCACACCAAAAAGGCCAGAAAATCAGACCTACATGTAGGTTGCAAACTGAGGGAATGTCAGTACAATAGTACCTGTCTTTTATTTCCTCTCAAAAACAAACTCTCAGTTTACATAGTGCTTAAGTTCAAAAGGCACGTCAACTGCACGGCCTCTGCTGACACACAATATCACAACAACATGAATGTAACTCTTCGCTTCCATCGCTAGTGTGTGGTTTTCTGAAAATTGCAAAAAACGCATAGAGATCCACATGTTCTTCTTGAACAGCAAAACGCAAGATCTTAACTTAGAGATTGTTTACTTTGAGCCAAGAGAATGGTGTAATTCACAAATTTCCAACTGAGTCAACAGACTCATGCAATGAACACTAGCTTACGGTAGTTTGAGCACATGGTGACTAAAGCTCATGGTCACATCACATTATCCCAAGGGTATTCGGGAGTGACAGGGCGGAGAACTCAAAATCTGGAGATCATACAAAGACACCCCTGAAGTTGAAACTCTGTGGCAAATACATGTAACTAGGAGATTGCAAAAAAACTAACTTAAAACCAATATATACATTCACAGTGCTGGAAATAATTTTTCTTCTTTAACAGGACATGTGTCCTTTCAAATCTTCATTTTGGTCGGACATCTTATCAATTTGGCCGGACATTAATTTGCATAATTGATTAGCATAATTAATTAGCATAATAAAATTTATAGGCATACTGTAAAGATTTTCAATACAAATCGTTCAAAACTGCATTTCAATTTGATTTATTTATCATTTATGATTGGCTAGATGAATTTATCAACTAGATGACTGCACCGGTCTCTCCTGGTTATCTCCTGGTTATATGTTCTTCAAGCAAACCTAGCTAGTTTTCTATTGAATGCTACCATTAAAGGGACACAGTCACCTTTAGGACTGCGCTGACTTCGACACTAGTTTTTTTTTTCAACCTGAAATCAAAATACATCTAGAAATCCACTTTGATCTTCGCAGTGTTTTTCTTGATTTTCAATTGTTCACTGAAAAACCTGTTTTTGAGTTTGCTTTTGCTCATCCTATGATATTATTTTTATCATATTTGGTTAAAAACAGTATGGATCGCGTCTCTGTGATATGCAAATAAGCAGTGAAATGGTATGTAATGCGCATATGCAGTGGCTGACTGTGTCCCTTTAAAGCAGGAGCCCATCACTAAGAGTGTGCAACTACCCCAATTATTCCTGTCCCGGCGTTTTCACAGTCTGATCTATTTTAAGTTTGAATTTACCGCAAATTCAGACCCCCCAGGAACCTCCGTGACCAATCACAAGTGCAGACTTCATAATTTCACCACAAGATTAGGTTGACATGTCCACCTGAGACTGCCATTTTTCTCCTTACTGATTCGTGCTCATATAAACTGGAACTGACCTTTTCAGTGGAAAAAGAAGCCTAAAAATAGACCGGTTTTTTAAAAATACCATGACACAGGCTTAGTATGGGAGTTGCAGGCTCCTAGTGATGGGCTCATGACCAAAGGTGACTCTAGGTTACAAACATAAAGTGCTAACAGCATATCGCAATGCACGTAGTACATAATAGGGTGATTTCTGAATAGTATTTTATTTGGCAAGTACAGGAAAGATGAACACTTCTGCTTTATGATATGGCAGAAGTCCATGATGGGCTCCTGGATATGGCTCAAACTGTCAGTTTCAAGGGCCCAAAATTAAAAAAAAATGTTTAGTTGCCATTTGGCGACTAAGTGATAACAATCAAGTAGGAACTTTACTCAGAAAAGAACTCAATGCATAAAATCTGTGAAGAAAAAATTTCCAAGACTTTTTTGGCTGCTAATTTTGTGTACATAGCTAATGTAATGTCTGAAAGATTCATGCAGTTCAAGAGACACAATCGGTAGGTATACATGACATACTCAATGCTCAAGGGTTTGCAGTGCATTATAGGGCGATTTCAAACACGATCAAACAAGATTTTCATTTGTTTTCCGATGTGAGGGAATCCTTTACAGCAAAGCAAAAGGATAGATTGCTTTCTTTTCTTATGTTGAATGTTATAGAAGCAAAGTTCTTTCACTATGTAGTACTGAAAGGACATAATGTCTGGGAAAATAATCGTTATTGATCGTCAACACAGAGAAATGTAGTTGCCATTATGGTAGCCTTTGAATGCCGACGTATTTTCGGCTGTCGACCAGAATTTTTGGCTGCCAAAGATTAAAATTTTAACCACATTGGTGACCGTACCGGTCACAATTTTGAACCTTTTAACAATGTATCTAACCAAATTTTATGGATGGACAATAACTTGGTGTTGGTAAAATGTTCGGACATCATGTCCGATCATAATGTGAAATTGGCCGGACATATTCAAAATTTGTTCGGACAATGTCCAATGACGGACTGTTATTTCCAGCCCTGCATTCATGTAAATGTTATCAAATCAAATCAAGTTGCCTTGAGCATGACAAATTGCCATAAGAAGTCATCACGTTTTGTTAGCGTACTTTGCTGGAGACTGACAGAGATTTCATTAAGGGCCGGGTATCGGGCAAATTGACTGGAACCCCTGGAGTGAACAATGAGTGCTTCTGGTGCAGGCATCAGATGTGCTGGGTATTAAATATAATTATTTAAAAATAACATTGTTGATAATGATTACTTCAGGCCTAGGCTTTTGAACTAGCTGACAACAATTTGTTTTAATAAATGTAAAGATTTCTGTGGTATAATGTTTTCAGGTTTTCACAGGGAGGAATCTTGTCAGTCAGGGAAATCTGATTGGGGCATTCAAGGTAAGCTTAAACTGTTCTGAACTTTTGTGGTAAAGTCGTGAAAACCAGGAAAATAAAGTTGATGGTAATAGTTCAACAGAAGCAGGATGTTGTGTGAAATTCATGTACCAGTACTAGTAGCAACCTTACCCAACCTGCCATTTCTCTTCCGTAGCAAAAGTTGGTAGAAAAGTCTATCATTAAAATGGTGCATCTTTTGTTTAATAACAGCTGGATGTAGGGACTGTGTATGCTCAACCAGATCACAGATTCTGCCGCCGATGGGCAGTAATGACAGATCCAGAGGAAACACTGGGTGCTTCTGGTGCAGGCATCAAGGTAGGTAGATTTGCTGATTTTGTTGCTTTCTACTAATGATAGGGGTTGATTCAGTCAGTCATTTTATCTTTGAGAAAGTGCATAGCCAAATTTTGATATACTTTATAACAATTTCTTTCCTCAGGGCTACCTAAAAGTTGATATTACTGTGTTAGGTAAAGGTGATCCTGCCAAGGTGAGGTGTTGTTGTTTAGTAAAACACCCAGCTTAACTTCTTTATACTGTTGTTATGGAATTGTTCTGTGGTCACACCAATAATATATTGGTACTCCTCATGTAGGTTTATTATTAGACTAAGTTTAGCTATTTTGTTGCATTTGTCCAGAAAGTACAATATTGCACCCAAGGCAATATAAATGGCATTATCTCCTCTATAAGTAGCTGTTAGTAATAAATTCTCCTCGAGTCCCCAGTTTCAAGCCCCCTTCTATTACCCACCTTTCCTCTTAGCAATACAAATAGAAAGAACTAACCTGACCCTTCCAGGACTCTCAATTGAAAATCGTAAAATGAATGTCTCTGATTCTCTGTGTATGCAGGAACCTCCAGGTATCAAGGACAGTGATGATGATATTGAAGGGTAAGGAAGTTTCTTTTGCTTTTGGCTTTTTTTCCCTTCGATTAACCTTAGGTTCAATTGGTTATTAGCCCTCCCTGGTGAAAAATCCTGTTTGATGGCTTAAGGATTTTTCTACCCAAGCCCTACTGAGTATTAAGGGACTGACTGGATGACTTTTACAGCAGACAGAAGTCCACCAACAGGCCCAAGTAAAAGCTCTTTTGAACTGAGACATTTGATGTGAGAACAAGGCAATGAGACAATTCAGAACGTATTTCACAAAGTTATGAAAATGAGTATGTTGTGGTTCTGTTTTTGTGAGAAATTGAACTGGTAACACTTTGTAACAACACGTCTTCTTGGTGGAAGGTTACTTCTTAAGGTGGCTTAAAAAGATCAATATAGTTTCCATTGTTTATTAGTTAGAAAGTTATACAGGAATGTCATATTCAAAGTAGAACACATTGCCCTCCACAGGAATCTTCTCTTACCTGAAGGAGTTCCTGCAGAAAGACCAAAAGCCAAGATTATTGTGAAAATTTACAGAGCTGAAGGCCTGCCAAAGAGTAAGTAATTTAATGACACAGGGATCATGGTAGACCATGTTCATCAGGAAATATGCTGAAGTTCTTTTCTAGAATCATTAGAGTCAGATTCTGAATGAAATCAGGAATCATGGCACATTTAAAGTACAGATGTTTACCAACACTTGGTTGGGAATATTACACTTAATGCAATGGCAACTTCATGCATGTACAGTACTGTTGTAATCTTATATGATATCATTGTTTTACTTTCTAGTGAATAGTGGTCTCATGGCCAATGTTAAGAAAGCGTTCACAGGAGAGGTATAAATTTTTATTTTCCTGTTATTTACCTTGTGACTGTGATAACTAATTAAATGCTAATTTGAATCTTTTCCTCTCAGTAACCAAATTCGTAATGATAAAACCATACCTCTATCTTATTCAGGTATGTTATATAGCCACCTTCTCTGGTTTTGAATCCCAATTTTTTTTTTACATCATTGGCTAAATGGGGAGCAGGGATGGTGTAGTGGTTGGAACTCTCACCTCCCACCAGTGTGGCCTGGGTTCAAATTCTGGATCCGGCATCATAAGTGGGTTGAGCTTGTTGTTTGAACTTCTCATGCTCACTCTGAGGGTTTTTCTCCAGGTTCTTGGGTTGTCCTCCCCCCATAAAAATCAATACTGGAAACAGTGGACGAAGAGCCTCTCTGTGGGATGTGCCACTACAAATTCCTATTTATTTAATATATATTTTGTTCTATTTATAAATAAATGGGTTTTGATTAATCTGCTATAGATGTACTGGTGCAGGTGACTTGTGTCTCTGGATGCTTGCTGTGCCTCTTTCTACAGACCTCTGTGCTGATCTGTTCTTATAATGTACTCAAAACTCAGCTGTCTTATTCCTAAGTTGGGTTTCATGAAGTAATTTCTGTTACTCTTTCAGGTGCGAGATCTTGTGGACCCTTACGTGGAAGTCTGTTTTGCGGGGCATAAGGTGAGTTTGTTATACATTGGCCTGATGGTTACCTTAATTTCTTACATATCGGTAACATTAAATGCATCACTTTTGCATACATACTTGCTGAATACTCTAATTTTACTGATCAATTCTTAATTTCTCTTTGAATAACAGGCTAGAACAACAGTGAAAAAGAACACATATGAACCAAAGTGGAATGAGCAGATTGTTTTCTCAGAATTGGTAATTTTAGGATGCTTGTTTGGTTGTATTCAGATCTGGTTTGACGTGCTGTTGTATTTGATATGTTAAAATTAATATGACCTAATAATAATGTAATAATTGTTATTCCTTAGTTTCCTCCACTTTGCAGACGAATGAAGGTTCAACTGAAGGACAGGTAATCAACATGCTATTCGAATACAGTGGAACCCTGTTAATACGGTCATTAATAGGTAAAGTCTATACAAGCCAAGGGGCCCATCACGCCGGAGCTTATCCCGCTTTCTCTATAATGAAGTGACTACGAGTATTTCTACTCCCCCTGGATGGGATGTTAGTCCATTACAGGGTTACCCCCAGCAGTAATATCGCCAGTACCTATTTATACACGTGGGTGGAGAGAGGCACTGTGAAAGTAAAGTATCTTGCCTGAGAACACAATGCAATGTCCCCGGCCAGGGCTCGAACCCGGACCACTTGATCCATGAGGTCACCATGCCTCTCACACTATCACCAATGGGCCGTAACAGTTTGGCCATATTAACAGGATAGGGTCTATTTTAAGTGATGTTTTGTCAAATATACATGTATATACGTATCACAATTGCAATTACTAAACAACTGAATAAGCATCCACAATGCCAATACGATTTTAAAAATTTAGAATTCCAATCAGTACATGCAATGTTAACCATGGAAAAATGTCAAATTGGCATGACATGGTACTGGCGCTTTGAATAAGAGAGTATTTCTCAATAGTGTTCCTCAATATTTGTTTTGTTTGGTCAATTGTGAATGCGTATTTGACGGTTTGAGTGGCAGTATTAATGTGGTAAAATTATACAGCTTGGGATTTCAGAATGTGACTGTTGGACGTATTAATGGGGTGGCTGCATTAACAGGGTTTTCTTATAAGAAAATTACATGTATGGGTGTTTTGCTGGGACAAAGAAGGGTGGCCATTATAACGAGGTGACTATAAGGCGGGGTTCCACTGTAAACATTTGCAATCTGTTGGTCTTTCCACTTGTTTGTGTGCATGCCTGTGTTTCCTGACTGTCTGTCTGTTTGTCTGTCTGTCTGTCTGTGTGTTTGTCTTGGTTTGCCTGTCTGTCTGCCTGCTTGCCTGCCTGTCTGCCTTTCTGTCCATGTGTTTCTGTCTGTCTGCCCCCTGTGTGTTAGTTTGTCTGTATCTGACTGTGTTTGTCTGCCTGCCAGTCTGTTTGCCTGTCTGTCTGTCTGTCTGTCTGCCTGTATCTGACTGTGTGTGTCTGTCTGTTTGTCTGTCTGCCTGTCTGGCTGCTCGTGTTGGACTGTGTGCCTGCCTGCCTGTCTGTATTTCCTTGTTTTCATAATTAATAATTAGTGTGTAGACAAAGAAACACAGACAGACATACAATGATCCATTTGGGTTTTTGTTAGTCACTACAGTTATTAAATCCATCCTTCTGTCGAACTGTAAATTTCTCCTGAATAGAGAAACTTTTCTTGCAGTGATTCTGTTTCTGACGAAGTTATTGGAACACATTTTATTGACCTGTCCAGGATATCCAATGATGGAGCTAATGGTATGCGATGTTACACATATAACTTTTAGTAGACAGCTTTTTTTTATTTGAATCTTAGGATTGTTTACACTAAATGAAATTTACTGACAAAGACATCAACAACTATTAATGATTTAAGCAACCTCTCATTAGTAATATGATTTAACACTGCAACATTTTACTTCATTTTCTTTGTTGATCCCTTCACTTTTCTGGACACCTGTCACAGCAACATAATAACAATATTTTAATTAACAATAACCCTGATCAATGGTTACCATAATAAATTGTAAAACAAAAATTGTTCTGTAAGTATGTGAATAAAAAACAACGTTCATCTGGTGAAATGTTAAAATGTTACTGAACTTTGTCAGGATTCTTGGCTGCAAATGCAGATGATTATAGCTTTAAATTTGGAAAGGGTAAATAATAATAAAAAAATAAATTAAAATAAACAGTTGAATTAGCATAAAAAGGCAAATTGTTGGTTTTAAGGAACTGGTTATTTTCCACCAGGTTTACTTTCCTGATATTGTTTTGTCAACAGCTTTCACATATTGAATTTGTTTTTCAACATTTTGCCAGAGGTTTTTATAGTCTTTTTAATCAAGCTAATTCAATTATATAGAAGCATGGTTGCATGGTTCCATTTATACCCTTTCTGTAAGTTACTTCTTTAGAATTAACACCAATAACTATCAACATGGAATTATACACTTTTTGTGTTGATGTCTTTGTCAAATGTCTACCCATTCATATACATGCTGTTGAGATGCAGTTGTGAACATCTTAACATTCTTGTTATTAAAATTTCCCAAATTTTTTTGTGGATGTCATCTCCTCCCTGTAAAGAAAATCAAAAATATAGAAAACTTGTTTCTCTTTAATTAATGATTGGTACCCAGAAATTATCAAATTACCCATGGCCAGTTGTTTCTTGGCCTTTTGCCTATTTTTGCAATCATGAAATGTCCCTTATTCAACCTAGAAATTGTTTATAATGACTGGTCTGAGGAGTTTAACCAAATAAAAGTTTTCATCTGGCATTTCCATGCCAACCATTTGAAAGAATGGGTGGAGCTTGTGATAAGTTGTTTTTGTTAACTTTAGGTACTGGTTATGTCTATTATATTTGGACCTCTGTGCATGTCTTTGTAAAACATCTAATGCTTTTTCACATGCTCATCACTAACTTAACATGCTCAGTTGTTGGATTTCATGTTTTTCTGTTCTGTTCTATTTATCCATTGCTATAACAGCAAAAATAACACTGACAATTCCTTTATTTGTGATTTAATTTCTTTTTATTATTTCTTTTGCTTCAATGACCAGTTGCCCTTTTCTCTTAGTTGTGCCTTGGTTTTTTTTGTTCTTTGCTGGTCTATATATTGTTTCTAGCTGTTTTTGTCACTCTGTTCTATAACGGATCAATTTTATGGTCCTGTTTGTTGCTCTCTCTTCTTCTGTAATGTGAAGCTGACTTCTCTAGAAGTAGAGGAAACAATATCTGACTTCAAATACTGATTTTTGTAACTTCTCTTTAAACTTTTCTGACAAGTCAGCCAGTTCTAACTCAGTCAAATACATTACTTGCCTGTCTTTTTGTTTGCTTGTGAATGCCATTCAATTCTCCTTTTTGTTGCATGTTTTTAAACTTTGCGTTGGTAGTTTGATTAAGCTTGCAGCTATGTTTATTCAATAAGCATGTTAAAGAAATTACCATTAACAAATTGAATCTGGAACTAAACCTAATTAAGAAATACTGTCATTTGAGGGTTCAAGCAGAACCCAAAATTCACATGCACAACAAATATTTGAACTGCAGACCTCCACACAAAAACAAATGCATTAAAGATGCATAAATTTTCCCAACAGAATCACAAGGTTACTTCTTCAAGCCCCCTTTTGGTGCCACATCGAGCATTTCAGCATATATGCATGACAACTAATGGAACACTGTTTGATCAGATCATTCCATTATCTTTATTGTCATATTTATTCCAAGGTAGTTCCTGATTCATAGCGTTTGGCAACATAATTTGGTAGTAAAAGTCATATTTATACATTATGAGAGGCAATTCTGTTTACAGATATTTAAGAACTTTAAAAAATGAATGAAAGAAAGAGAGGGAAACAGGTTTTTCAAGATAAGTAGGAGGTGGTCATGCAGTTCAACAATTTAGCTTCAAAAATTGAAATATGCTTTGTAAGTAGTGGAAAGCAACTGAATACACATTGCAAGAGAAAACATAACTTCTATACTCTGCCTTTGGATCATGAACTACTACCAGTGCATGCAAAGTAAGATGAATTTTTTATTGCAGAGTAGAAACACAGCTTTGCATGACATTGTATGACAAGCCAGAAATGATATTACTAAGTGTAAATTCAAGTTGCAACCTTTTGTTAGCAAGATAAAGTTTATCTGCAGGGCAATAACACGACACTTCTTGAAGGAATAAATATGGCATTTTAAAGTATTGCAACATGGAATGCAAATTTCAATCCAAGGCAAAGGCCTGCAACACACATTTTAGAAACTTGTTTGTCTGAACAGTTCAAGTTCCAATTTGTTGAAGGAGAAAAGAGAAGCAGTTATAGCTTGTTTTACTTCCTTCTCTTGCATTTTATTTTTCTGTGGTTCTATATTTTGTTTGAACGTGAATGTGAAATAACAAACTCAGTTTTACTGTTCCCTAACAGCATTTTAACCAGTAAACAGTGCTAATTTAGATGGAAAAACACGTTTATCTATAATACCATGGCTTGACTGTACAAGAGAAAAATGAAAACAATGCACAAGTCCAAATTGAAACTCACTTTGTTTGTATGAGAAGATAACTCGGCAACTTATTTCAATTCCCAGCTGTTAACGATGAAATGCATGCGATAACTGTTGTTGTTAGTATTGCTTACTCACACAGTTTGCACAGTGTAGCGTTTCCAAGTATCTCCTTCACCCTGTAAGTGTGGTGGTGCATTGGGTGTGTCTATGCTTGTGCCTCTGCATGTCTAACTTAAGCTGGCTGACTATACAGGGTGGCTCTCAGAGGTCTATATTCCTGGCTCAGGCATAAAAGTTCCTGGCTCAATTCAGGCTCCTGGTGTGTATGGCTGCTGGCTGCTTCTCTAGATCTTAATCTATCCTTAGTTTACTCCTACATACGTGTGTGTACCTGCACTTTAAAGTAGTACAAGTGGCATGCAATCTAGTCTATATTGTTGATATAAATTTATGTAGAGTTTGTGTCACAGTAGTTCTTTCTTTGTGTAAAACATGCAATCTGTGTCTTATTGTAATCAAGATCCCAAATGTTTACTTGGATTAAATTAAAAAAAAAAACCGAACTGTAATAATGTTATGATAGTTTCAAATGGTTTCTAAAGTTTCTACCCCAAACTATAAATTTAGCACTAAAACTAGGTCATTATAATTCCTTATCAGTGACATTTTAAAAGTGAGAAATGTTGATTTGTGTGCTAGTAGATGTAAATATAAAAGATAAAGTGTTGCAATTTTTGGAATAATCATGTTTTTCAAATACAGATAATAATTTTAACAAAAGTAAAATGAAACAGTTAATTCACTCAACTGATTTTTTTTTTTCACTTGCACGGATTTCCTAAGCAAGTAATGTTCAGCATGAAAACATGTAAATCCTTTCTCACAAATTAATGTATTATTATCACAAGCACTCAATTATTATTCTGTAGTGAAAAACAACTTGTAACCTGTTAAATTTTGTGTTAAATTATGCACTACGTTTAAAGTGGTAAATTGTAAAGGTGCTTGCACACTTTCCTCCCAACTGGTCATCTATCATTCTACTTCTCCAACTTTTCCCTATCAACTTGAAGGCTGTGGCTTATTTTTCCCACAATGTCTATTCTTGGGTCAGTCTGAATGATCAATCTAATTTGCTTTCCTTTTTCATCTTAACTGATTCTTTCACTAACTGGTCAACTGAAAAAGTGATCTTGCATGTCTGAAATAACAACCAGTAATTAAGGGCCCTGTCTACACTAATCTGTATAAATTTGAAAACATATCTTTTTTTCACGGGTTTGGCCCTCCATTGTCTCTAAAATGGCCCCTGAATACTGAAATGAATGGTAAACTATGTACACATTACTAGCACCCATATTAAATTAATATTTGTGGTGTTAGCAATTTCAGAAGGGCACTGTCTTCACCATTCATGCTACACCAACTACCTGGTGATTTCAAATTTTGTTGTTCCCAAAAGCGTTTATAAAAAGTTCACTTTTGGTAGTGATAAAACTGTTCAATTTGGATGGAAGGCCAAACTGGTGAAAGCAAGGTGTATTTTCAAATTTATGCACATTAGCGTCAATGAGGCGTAAAAAGTGATTTGGTGTACATTTTTGTAAACTCCAGTCCCAGGTGAGAATGATGGGGTGACTGTGTATTTTTCACATGAAAGTGTGCCTGCAGCTTTACCACAGGGGAGCGAGCCAATGGAATGGATCCATTGTATGTTAGTTGCATGGGGATTATGTAGCATGCATCCCTCCAGCCAGGTTCCCAGGTGTTCATTGAGAGGGAAAACATATTTTAACTATTTTTGGCAAGTGGGAGTCCTGAGAGAATGTCACTTTAAGTCAAAACCTGATAAAACTCCTAGGAACTAGGCTAGTGTTCTTTCATCAATCATTGTCATGCATTGCAGTTTTGAGAAAATTTGGAAAATAAATTGAAAAAAAATTGTCCCACAGATTCAGACTTTCGTTCCTCTGTAACCTTGCATAAAATTTGTTACAAAGCAAATATTTTGTGATGTTTTGATGTTACAATCCCCATGCTTCTAGACCAGTCCTGTAAGTAACAGTTTTTCTCAAAACTATAATGAGTGAGGTACAACATTTTTTACAGTTTACATGAGTGATAATTGAAGTTTGAATTTCAAGCTTGAACTGCACCTGTTTGCAAGCCAATACCGTCTCAAGAAAGTGATATGCAGTGCAATCCCAATTTTTTGAACCTCAAAGGGAAGTGAAAATTGGTTCAAAAAATTGGATAGTTTGAGAAATCAGGGGTAAAATTAGTGTTCGACTGAGGAGAGGGAAACCACTTTTGGTTTGAGTTATAAGGAGGTTCAAGAAACTGAGGTTTTAAGAAATTGGGATTCCACTGTGTACAATAACATAAACTTGTAGCTGTACTTGAAGAAACCCATGAAATAACACCCCTGGATGCAATTGTGTGATTTTATAGTTCAAGCTTGAATAATTGTTTCTTAAATATGTTACTTGCTAAATGTATTTTGTCCATTTTGTTTTCTTTTGCTTTTTTTTGTTAATTTGCTGGTGGTCACTATGCAACATGTCGGGGTGACATCGGCCTCTGAAGTTCATAAGTATCCTGCTGATATCGGTAAATATGTTGTTAGTTTTATAACTGATGCCTAGGTGCTTGCCATTGTGTTTCCATGCCACACTTTAAAATGCTTTTTTCCAGCAAATAGGGTTTTTTTTTGCTAAATTTGGTAAATCAGACTTTCCCTTGATATATAAAGCATTGTTACTATAATCACAAAAAGATACTTATAATAGTTATAACAATCATACCACTACTAGTACTAATACTAATAATAATACTAATACTAATGATACTAAAAATGATAATGATGATGATAATAATAATAATAATAATACATGTAATAAAAATAATAATGAGATGTAAGGTGTGGCATGAGTAAAACACAGTGGCAGGCAGAACGGATAACCATTCATCATTGTTAGTACAAACCTGGCAGAATTAGCTCGCACTTTCGATACTGCTTACATTTTATACAAGAAACTTTATTATTATTCTGGATTCAAACAGTGCTTAGCTTGAAAATTAGCCTGACTCCTTATTGGGAATGGTCTACACAGAATTATGTCATCGAGCTCTCAAGCTTGGAATTTGTTGCTGGGCAAGGGCTAATCTTACATTAGAACATTGTGAATTCTGAGCAATCTTCACCATCATGTTGAAGAAATCATAACGTTATGAAATCATGGGATGCCAACGTCATGCTCTTTAAACTGCAAATTTGAGACCTTGCATTGTGGAACATGCACTGAAGATTTCTCATTTTCATGAAGGAAATACCCATGCCATTCAAACTTTTGTAAACACACATTAATAGCAATGGAGATCATTTAGAGCGGTTTTCAATTGAGTGTCGTAAAACCAAAACCAAACCAATTACTTACCAATTAGACTACTCTCCCAGTCTCAAACGGTAGTTAAATGGAAACCAAAACCAAAACCAAAGTAATAATTACCTGATAATTTTTGATGCTCAATTGAAAACTACTCTATGCACATTAAGCTATGACAATGGTATGTACAAATGCATGTTGTAGTTCTTCCAGGAGAGGAGTTCACTGCTGGAAGTCTCATAAGTTCACCACATTTTACATGGTACAAAGTTCACCAGGATTATTTACATTAAGGTTGCTTTTCAATGCATCTTTTTTGTATGAACCTAGCAGCATGAGCTTGTTAGAACTGGCTGGCTAAGAGACAGAGCAAAATGCAATCTGCTTCCCCCTTTTTTGTTATCCAGTTTTGTTATTATTCTAGCAGATGGACTTGGCTTTGGATAGAGTTCAGCATGCATAAATGAACTGGGTACAGGGCTATTTACAACTTGTGCGCTTCATTCCCATTATTACTTGGCTTCTGAATGGAGAACGTAAAATGTTTGGAAACTGTCAATTTCAATACTGTACATGATTTGATTATCACCTGGGTGCTCTCTGGAGATAGGGTACCTTAATTTTGAAAACAAACATCTCGTAGCTTTTAACAAACTTGTCAGGCGTTTGTCAGGGAAGTTCTGTCTCTTCGTTTACCCACTGCTAAACTCTTGATAAAAGAGATTTAAACACAGACTTGAATGCCCGTAAAGCTTTAGAGTGAAGAGTGAGTGAGTCAGCCCACTCAAAATCACATGAGATGTTGGGTGAGGCCGTTAGAAGTTGTCTAGTGGATCAAACAGACCTGTCCATTAAATGCACGGTTAATGACAGCAGATTTCTTGTTGCCAAAAATTTAGTTGGAACTTTTGATGATTAGAGGTTTTCACTAAAGTAGGAAGAAGGGTGTTAAATCAAGTCATTACAGTATTGGGAAAAAAGAAAAGTCTAAATCGTGGCTATGAAGTTTTCTTGGCCAAGGAAAATGTGAATGAAACAGTGTTCAATTTCTGTGGGGCTATGGAGAGTGTGGTCTTTTGTACCACAATTTCAATACTTTGTACTATTGGAATTTCAAATGTATCTGATAATTCAGTTCCATAACCATGTCTTTCTGAGGAGTGCCCTATAATTGATGTTTACAGGTTTTATGCCAACATTTGGCCCATGCTGGGTGAACCTTTATGGATCAACAAGGGACTACTCATTGTTTGATGAACACAATGATCTTAATAACGGACTGGTAGGTGTCTTTGTTATAGGAAAAGCAATAGTTAATGGGCAAAAGCATAACATGTCAAGTGTGCATAACATCAATGTATTTTTTATGGTGATTAGAGATGGAAGGGTTGGGGTTTAATATAACAGTACTTAGTTGTATTATTTTCACAATGCTAGTCTAACCTTGCATGAATCTTGCATGATTTTGCTGTACAGAAAACATACAAAGTAATAATCAAAACAAATGATTGTTTCCAGTTGATTAGGCCCAGGTTGTCTGCTGCAACTCTAGTCATTTTCTAGGAGAGATTTAGACAAAAGCCTGTTCTAGCTTTCATCCACGATGTTGCGAGCTATCAGTGGTGCTATTTTGAACATGGTTGTGAATTTTAATTAACAGCTTAAGTTTTTCCACTCTTGTGCGTTTTTCCCTTCTGTTTCTAGGGAGAAGGTGTGGCATACAGAGGTCGGCTGCTGATGGCAGTACAAGCAGAGTTTGGTGAATCTGCATCTGAGGCAGGTATCCGTCAGGTGGAGGTGGAGCCAACAGCACCCATCTCTGATGTAAGTATAAATGTGTCTGGCAAACATGACTTTTTCAATTCAGTTGAAAATTCTTGTCAATTCTCATTCTTTTGGGGTAATACGATGAAATGTTTTGCCTTAGAATCGAAGCGTGAGGGTTGGGACAAGTCTTGGCTTGTTATGTATGCACATATTTCATCATAAGTACCAAATGCAACACAAAAGCAAACATTACAATTTTATAGTTCTTATAATTATTAAGGCATGGTATGTCACTGATTCTCGTAGCCAGTGCATGGTCATAATTTAAATTCTTGTCTTCTCAGACTGCAGCAGGCAAAGAGGACCAGTTCCAGTTATTTGCTTGTTTCTATGAAGCAAGCATGATAGAGAGGAAAGTTGGAGACAAGATGATACAATTTGAAATGAGTATCGGTAGGTGTAAAATTTATTGTCCTCAACACAAATTTTACTACTTTCAAATACACTGCACCCTTAACGTAACACTGCATTTTCAAAAAAAATCTTCTTTTTAGGTAACTATGGTAACACAATTGATGGACAAGCTCTGCCAGGTGAGGTAGTGGATGAGGTTCGTAAGAATGGCGAGAACCCATTCATCCACCCGTTGACCCCGCCTGTTAGACCAGTGACGAATGACAGACAGTATTACCACATACCATGGGAGGATTCCAAACCCTGCACACACATCAAGTTGACATGGCAGGATCATCGCAGACGATTGTACAACTCCAATGTGCTGCTGAAGATTTGCGAGAGACTGGTGAGTTGTTATTCTGTGAGCAGGGTCTGATCTCGGCTGTAAGGGCTGGCTGACAGTGAAGAGGCTGAGGAGGGAATGGTTGGGGCGTCTCTCTCCTCTCTCCTCTCTCGTCTCTCTTCTTTCTTCCTGCTTTCCCTTCGCCCCATCTTCAGGCTAAAAAGTTATAAACTCATATTAGTTAATGCCACAAGAAGAACTTCGGCACATGTTTTTTCGCCCTTTTAGTCGTTTTTTCTTGCAATGTCAAGCATACAGATGTCAGTAAAGGATGTGATCTACCAGTATCCCTAAACTAGGAATATAGAGGAAGTATTGAAGCCGGTTGGGGTAGTTTATTATCGTATTATCAGGACTAGAAAGGAAACTTGATAGTCACCTGACCTATCTCTTTTTTGTCTCAATAGGAGGATGGATTGACGGATTGTCTTGAGAGAGTGAAGATGGACTTGCCAAACACTTACAGATGGCTAAGTCGAGTCCTTGCAGAACTTATCAATGGATGCAAGTAAGAGATCTAGCACTTCATTTTAGTCAGTGTTTCAAGGTGACGCATTGAACTCGATTGAGTAAAATCCCCCTCAGTATTCCTGAAGTTTTCTGTTCCCTATCTCAAAGTTTAAGTCCTTTGTTTCGCTACTGTCATCTACAGAAAGTCGATGCCGTTTTAAACAGAGTGTTAAGATGGACAAATCAACTGAGAGAATTTGCCCTTCTTAAGACTGATTTTGTCAAGACTTCGGGTTGTTCGAAAGTCGGTTAACGCTAATTCCTGATTAAAAGTTAATTGAAGTATCACTTTTTCTGGTATAAAAATGTTTTTCACTCCGTATGTTTTGTGTTGTTTGAGATTACTCAAGCTCAGAACTAAACGACAAACAATATAAACAGAAAACGTCACCGAAAAGTCAGTTATAAATAAACTGTAATCAAAATTCTCGCTAATCCTGGGTTAGCTTAATCGCGCTTTGAGCAACCCGGCCCTGCACTGCAACATCGACAAAGCTCCTCAGCTGAACACGTAACTACTTTAAATTTCTTTTGTGCAACAGCCAGTACCTCAACCTGGTCAAGTCAATGCCAACTGCTTCTCATGTGGGACGCACCAAGCTGGACAAGGAACGGCTGAAGCTGTGTCAGTATGAAGTAGAATCAGTGTGTCAATCAGCTCAGGAGCTGAAGGGTAGCACTAAGGATGATGGCCACATCAAGGACAATCTCAAGGCTGCCAATGCCTTGCTTCAGAGGCTGCTTAACATTGCAATTGAGGTGTGCTTTCTTCTATTGCGTATAGAAAGGTTTTGTGGCTTTCTGTTTTCCGCTCTTCATCTTCTCTTTCTGCTAACTTGGCGGACTAAGGACTAACGAAGATTTACCTAGAGCCAGTCTTGTACAAGTACTTTAGTGAAGCAACCAACGTTGGAATTTTTTTTTGGTAATCGTGTCTCGACAAGGTTATAAACAAATATCAAACAGTCACCTTTTGTGTGTAATGACATTGGCTTTCAGATTCTTTAATATTACCGCATTGTTTGTTGCACTTATGCTATGGCGTTTTCATCAATAATAACGTGTGATTACTGCAGTAAAATTGCGCAGCTATTGGCATAGGCTGAGTATCAGGTTTTCTGAGGGGAGGGAAGGGGAGAGGCGACAAGTCAACAAGTCACAACATAAGCGACATAACTGAAAACAGTGCAGCTCACTGTGAACAGAATTACTAAACCCAGTTTATGACGAGAATATGGCCCTGTTGGTTAACCTGCTCTTTTCTGTTTAGCCACAAGAAACAATCCCTGATGTTTTCATCTGGATGCTGTGTGGGGGCAAGAGAGTTGCTTACACTCGTCTTCCTAGCCAGCACGTTATTTACTCACTGGTGGAAGAGGAAAGAGGAAAGGATGCTGGCAGAATGCAGACCGTGTTTCTCAGGGTAAACTTATGTAACTTTAAATAAAGCATATAGTGCAGGAAATGTTGCTAATTGGAGAATTGACACCTTCTCTCAGCGTCCAATCGAACTCAATTCGAGCCAAACTATTTGTGTGAAATTGCATAATTAATCGAACTATTTGTGACAGTTTATTTTACTCATGCCGAACTTGATAATAGCGACATGACGACTCCGAAACGTTGGTCCATTTTATCGCTTAATTTTACGTGCTTTAATGTGGCATTAGTGATTATATGTCTTGATAACTATATAAGGGTGTAGAACCTTGGGGAAGTGCCTTGATTGAGTGCCTTAGTGCCCTAAATGCAGTACAGTAAACAAATCTGAAATATCGTGACAGGGCTAAATCATGATACATAGGAAGTCAATAAGCATAACAAATTGTTCTTCACATCCAAACATAAAGAAAGGTGATTTTATTAGCCGGAATGGGGGTTTCTCAGAAGGAACAGAAAAACAATTTCCTAAAACTCTCTAATTAAGATTTCGAGCAGAAAGTGGTCAAGTTTCAGCGTTAGGTGATTGCTCAAACAAAAAGACTTACATACATGGGCAATGGCGACCAAACGCTACACATTTCAGCTACTGACAATTGCCCTTGAGGAAGATAAGAGTAGGAAATTCTAAACATAATGCCTGTGCATGGCAATCAGTGAGCACAATTCATATTGTTGTTATGTATTTCAGCTTCCAGGAAAGCGTGGTGATGGTCCCAAAGGCTGGGCGATTCAAGCCAAGCTGAACGTCATGATCTGGCTTGGTCTCCACAAACATAAGAAAGACTATCTCAAAGACGCTCCCAAAGGATATCAAACGGTGCAGTAGTCTTGATTTCGATTAAAACCTTAGAAAACTAAGCAGAATTGGTAAAAAACATCGCAATGGCAGATTTCTGAGGTCAGTCGTTTTAATTTAATTTCGTTGGAAGGGCAATTTCGCTTCAGGGAAGATTTCGTGCAAATCACCTTGCCATGTCAAGATCCTTTGGCTTCAAGAGTACCCAAGTTTCGGCGAGAAATAATAGCAAAACGATTTCTGAACAAAACGAAGGGTTTGTACCTGTAAGTTGTCCATGTGAGATCGAGAATCAACTTATGGTAAGATTATCCTATCTTTTACAGCCAAAGAATGCTCACAAGTTGATGGCACCTCCTCCAAACCATCTTATCTACACAGGTAAGGAAGGTTACAAACGTTATGTCAACAAGTCGTTATTCATTTTTTTTTTTCATCAAATGACATTCCAGATAATCTAGAAAAGCCCTAGAGATGTTAGCAGACCTTGTACAAGTTTTCGTTTCTGATAAACTGAAAATTAACAGCATTTTCTTCCAACCCATTTTAGAAAAACAAAAGTTCATTCTCCGTGCCCACACATACCAGGCAAGAAGTTTGATAGGCAGTGACGCCTCAGGGCTTTCAGGTGAGAAATAAGTTTGATATCAAAAATTTGTGATCAGCAAAGGATGTTGGGAATTTGCGTGTGCAAATGTTTCTTCGGCTTGTAGTGACTTGACTTACTATGTCATTGTGCGGTTCTCATGGCATGAAAGAGGCGCGGTGGCCTCATGGTTAGTGCGCTTAACTCTGGCTCGAGCGGTCCGGGTTCGAGCCCTGGCAGGGGATATTGTGTTGTGTTCTTGGGCAAGACACTTTACTCTCACAGTGCCTCTCTCCACCCAGGTGTACAAATGAGTACCGGCGAACTTAACGCCGTGGGGTAACCGTGCCATGGACAAGCATCCCATCCGGGGTTTGGGAGGGGGGAAGAGTAGAAATACTCCTAGTCGCTTCATGCTACAGAAACTGGGATAAGCTCCAGCCTGATGGGTCACATGGCTCATGTGCAGACTTTACCTTTACCTTTACTACAGTTCTCATGGCATGACCTTGTTTTGATCACAGATGCCTTTGGTCGTGTCATCTTCACACACCTAGTTGCTGACACTCGTGTGATCTGGGAGACCAGGAGTCCTACTTGGGATCAGATGTTGGTCTTCAAAGACTTGATTCTGTGGGGAGACGTCAATGAAATCGCTGTCAATCCTCCCACCATCGTCATTGAAGTGTTCGACAAGGATATCGGGGTAAATAAACGCTTTTTTTCCCTTCTCCCACTTGTGTAAGTAAGTGGTATTGAAAAGAGCTGCTACATGTAATAAATTGCAAACAAACATTTAGATATTCAGGCAATTTTACTCACCCCAGAAGGTTTTCTCGCGTTCCTTCTTTTAACCAAAGTATACTACTATGCACGAAATATGAAAAGCAATTTCTTGGAGAAAATGCTATAGAAAATATTTAGATTTAGTGATTTGTACTGGTGGTTTTAGTTGAGCTGCAAGTGATCATTTTGGTCAGTATTTTTGGTAGTCTGGTCCTTAGCAGAGTACATACATGAAGATCTTTTATCGTTTGACGCTTTCTTCAGTTGTAGCTAACTCATCTAATGCGCATTGTTTCTTCTGTTTAGGGTGACTCGGAGTTCATTGGCCGTGCTCTGGCCAGACCCATTGTCAAGATGGCCTGTGAACCTTATGAAAAACCGTTCTTTCCGCCAGCACTAGAGTGGTTCCAGATTTTCAGAGGGGAAGAGAAAGCAGGTGAACTGCTTGCCGCCTTTGAGCTTCTTCAGGTGAGTAGGGTTAACGATTTCAGTCTCTGTAAACCATTACAACAACCTTTTCTCTCTCAGTTTTCTTTTTCGGTCAGAGTGCTGCCTCTAGGGTGGTTTTCTGTAGGAGCTTTGCTGAGAAACACCTGGACCAAACGTGACTAGAAGTTCCCAAGAGACGCGCTCGAATTTTCTCCATGTCACAACAAGCGTGGAGCAAACGTGAAAAATTAACGACTGAAGAAAATTCGGGAAGGTTCAAACTTATTTTGACCACACAAGAATCGCTGACAGTAGATTATGTAAACATTTAAGGTCAAAGAGCGAGAGTTTGAATTCTTGTTTAGCTTCGTGTCTCTGCTTAGCATGACTTTAAACTTGGACTAAGCCGGGAAAAAATACCCCCGTCTCCTAAAATAGTGTTGACACAGCAGCATGTTCTTGGAACTGATATCGAAGAGATGAGGAGGAGGGGGGAATTTAAGTCCAGTGTTTTATGATGTCTGATGTTTTGTCTCTGTAGTTGTCTGAAGGCACGTGCTTCCTTCCCACTGAAAATGAGCCTGTTAACACTCCTGATGGACCAATAACACCTGTACCGGACGGCATCAGACCCGTGATGAGGAAACACAGAATTGAGGTATTGATACTATAACAGTACAGTCGAACCCCTATTAAACGGCCACCCTCGGGGAAATGGACTGTGGCCGCTTAAAAGGGGTTGGCCGCTTAATAGACGTAGAAACAGTAGGAAAGCCGTCATTGGGACTTTGATTGCTGGCCGCCTAATAAGGGTGGCCGCTTAATAGGGGTTCGACTGTATTTACAAAACAACACGATACAACAAAACAAAACAAAACAAAACACAACAAAACGCAACAAAACACAGCAAACATAACAAAACACAAAGCAACAGTACAACACAAGAAAACGCTACAAAACACAACTAAACGCAACAGAATAAAACAAAGCGCAACAAAACAGCAAAACACTCCGTCTCGGTCCATAAACAGGCAAAAAAAGAATTCAACCAATATCCAGCCATCTTGACCTCGCGCTTGGTCAATAACTCATATTTCATAACTTAAATTGTATACTTGTATTATTTGCCAGGTGTTGTTCTGGGGTGTCAGAGAGATGAAGAGGATAAACCTCACTACAGTGGACCGACCTCAAGTGGATATAGACCTTGCTGGACATGTTATACAATCAACTGTCATCACAAATGCTAAGAAAAACCCGAATTTCCAGAATCCAGTCATCTTCTTTGATGTGGTAAGATCGTGTTACTGTTAACTGTTGTATTCTTTACTACGGATACGTTTTGATATCCAGTAGACGATAGTGAATAAAACCTGCCACGCTTTCTGCTGGATGGTCATTTATTTGGTGAATACTGAGCTTTATCCACCCTTAAAACAGGACCAAGGGCCCGTTTCTCGAAAGCCCCGGAAACGTTTCAGGCCCGTAAAGCCATAGCAAAATCTCGAACCTTACGATTACAGAGCTGTTTTATTCACATATTCTTAATATGAAGAGAAGTTCCTGCTTACAAGAAGTTTCAGGCATATACACTTCTCCGTTTTTAGATACAGATGGACTAAAAATGGCTTTACGGGCCCGGAAGGTTTCCGGTACTTTCGAGAAACGGGCCCCAGGGGTCGAACTTAGAACGGAAAATGATCTCCAACTTAACTTGGAAAGATTAGCGCGTGTTTTTAAGCATGTCCATTTTGTGGGGTCCTGGCATTGTTTCCGTTGCGTTCTACAACGCCAAACGGTGATATCTGAGTTTCCTGTGGTCATTGTAGTAATATATCAAACACTCAAGACCACGTTTGACCACATTTCCAAACACCGAGATGAGATCTGAAAACACGACGTGCAGCGGAGTATTTTTGACGAACTTCGAGGTGTTTGGAATTGTGGTCAAACACTGTTTTGAGTGTTTGATATACCTTGTTAATCGAAACTAAAACCAAGGAGAAAATGGAGACTTAAAATTGTAAACATCTATGATAATTAAGATCAGATTTCCAAACACCGTCACGGTCTTAAAGAATTGACTGATTACACTTTACAAAACACACACAGGAACTTCCCGAGAATGAGCGTTACTGCCCTCCGCTGACCATCCGTGTCAGGGACTGCCGTACATTTGGTCGGTTCACACTGGTTGGCACTCATGTGTTGAACTCGCTTCACCGCTATCTGCAGACGGGAGAGAAAGAAAAGGAAAAACTGGAGAAAGCAGGTCAGACAAACACACATAATCTTACAACAAAGCTATTGTAATGGTCCTTCACAAGAAAGACGAACAATGCAATTTTTCAGTGATCACACGAAGGAAGTACACAGCCATGCGCGCGAAAATGCAGTTGACCAACTGCTTTTTGGCTTTGTTTCCCATCTGATTGGTGGATGAGTGGCATCTGAACTGACCAATCACTGAGCGTAGCAATGCAAAACCGAAACAGTTTCGGATTACTTCTGACACTCAATTTAAAACCACTCTAGTAACTGTTACTGCAGTTGAATCTGCTCTCAAATATTCTTTTGTCTAAAAAGGCATGCGAACAGGGCGAAAGGTTTAATACAAAGCCGCAGAATTGACCCTTTCGTCTCGTTTGTATGTCATTCTGTTGATAAGTGCTATAACAGCTATTAGACAAATTAGAGACGTACGGCAAAACTTGTTTTTGTTTTTCACCCCATCACAGAAGCTGTAGCAGGAGGAGCCGTGGGAGCAGCATCACGTCCTACATCACCTGTTCCTAACACGCCCGCTGATGTGGCTATCGAGATTGATGAAGATCCTCCTGACGCAGCGGATTCTGAACCTCTGGTATGCCAACGTACAATCTTAATTTTCTTCACTGCATTAATCTTGCATTTTAATCGCAGTATTTTTCTAGCTGCTTGGCAATGTTTTGATACGTGATCTCACAATTCTTCATATTAGTCTTTTCCCTGACCAAGCTTTCTTTTGAAGTGCCAACCTTACTTTCCTTGTGGTGCACTCTTTCTCAGTCTTGAAGCATTCTGTTAATTTGCTCAGATTAGATGTTCTGCGTAATAGTAACACCCCTTACCCTCTTCCTCTCTGACTGGGTTCAATACTTGTTCTGTCTTCTCTGACTGTTCATCCTGGTTGTTCTACCTTAAAGGCCCAAAGAAACCTTTACGACACAACGTTACCTTTTTGCCTTTCTCAATTTAGCAGGAAGGTGTTAACGGTTTGTGAGCAGTTATTCAAACAGCTTAGAGTAAAACCTCAGTGGAGAAGTGTCATTTAGCATTTACAATTCTCTGTTTGTGGCCGTGCTCATGACTAAAGCATAAATGTCATGCTGCTAAATGTTATTCTACAGCTTTCATGTTTATCGTTTTTTATTGTTTCTGACTTCTCGAAAATGGAGGAATTGCACACCTTTCATATTTTCTTTCAAAGGCAGCCATCTTCCCCATTTTATCTATCTTTCTTTGACTACAATATGTTTTGTGGATATTGTGGTGGCGATCTCATATTCACTTCTGCTAAATTGGACAATGATTCATGTTCAGAGTGAACTTAAAGTCTTAAAGCGTAGCTGTCATCACATTGTGAGAACCCTAATTCTTCTATCTGTTCCTCTCCTGGGGAGATTCCGCCAACTCTTGCGATAGAAAAATTCCCATATCACCTCTCAGAGTCCTGTAAACCATTACTAGCAGAGGAGTGCGTTAAGCTTGTTGCTGTTACTTTGTATTTATACTCGTTTGTGATCTTTTCTCATCTTTCATTCATGTTGTTCATGTCGTATCTCTTCTTTCTTACAATGCTTTCGTCGCCATCACCACAGCTCTATGCCTACACACTAAAGGTGAGCTCATTGTACAGTAGATCACTCTTTATACACATCGTGCGTGACTCACTGTACTTCATTTGGGGTGCGTCAAGGTGATGTAACATTTTTAAAGGAAGCAGCTTGATTGCTCATGCTGATGTGGCGCCACTCTCTGCATATTGTTGTATTGTTTCACCTGTTCTTTTCTGTTGGGATGAAAAAAGCGCCTTGCATTTTTGCACTTCTGTGTCTAATTCTGTTCCAAAGGCGAGATTTGTGAGTCAGGCACTTATAGTTTTCTTCTTCTGTGGTTTTAAATGTGTTCTTAACACTAGTTCATACTCATTTGCATTTGGAATTCGGGTTCAGATCTGTCAAACAGATGCTTAAAAGTACATTGCTATGCGTATTCTCACTACTGTGGCAGTATCTAGAGCTTTTCCTCTAAGATAAAAGAACCTGTAGACATCTTCGTTATGCTACCAAAAACTTAGAATTGTGCGTTTTGTTATCTGAGTTGCAGGAGAAAAAGAAGAAGGGAGAGGGAAGTGGAGGCGAAGGAAAAGGCGAGAAGGGGAAAGGTAAGGAAGAGGAAGACGGTGAAGATGCGCTAGACTGGTGGTCACGCTATTACGAGACACTGAAGGACAAAGAACGAAATGAGAGAAAGGAAGAGCAACAGCAGTTAGCACGAGCTTCAAAGAAGAAAGAAAAGAGAACTGAGGAGGAGACCGAAGAGGAGAAGATGAAAAAGAAAATTCCCAGACTGACGGTGAGAGCGCAATTGAAAATGAAGCTGGTTAGGTTGATGTGCCATTGATAGACCATTTCCAAAGTACCTTTAGCCTCTTTCTCAAAGCGAGTATTGGTGCCCATCCTTTCATATGAAAATGAGATTTCATTCACATGCAAATCAAACTCATTTTCATATGAATGGTTGTGACTAGGCCTCGCTCTGATAGAGAGGCTTAAGACTGACGGGGTGTGTCACGAAATAACTCACACAGTGTGTGAGTCACACGTAATGACCTACCAAATGTGTGAGTCACGCAGTGAGTGATGCACTCGCTTAATTTTGTTTTTCACTGGAGTTACTGGATTGGGTTGGTATCGTAATACTTTCTTGTGGGCTTTTTTTATGTTGACAGATTTTTGATTCAGAGCTGGAATTCTTACTGGAGTACAATGGTTTCAATGATTGGCTTCATTCGTTCCCACTCTACCGCGGCAAGAAAACCAGTGAAGATGATGATGACGATCACAGGATTGTGGGAAAATTTAAGGTATTTTTACAACCCAGGAATTGCTGAAGTTTTAGCATGTCTTTGAAAAGAACTTGACCTACAAGCTAACTTTTTTGTGGTCCATTTTAGGGCTCTTTGAAAGTGTGGAAGTACCCTCTGCCTGAACACGTGGAAATGGACCCAATCGTTGGTACATTCCTCAAGTTACCCAGCAATGAGCCTGTCAATGTACTCGCACGAGTTTACGTCATCAAGGTACGTCATGATGACGAATAACCTGATGGCTTAATTCACCCGTGGCCTTAAAAGTTATTCAGTTGACAATATTTTTGATCCATCTTAGTCTTTCCCAATCTTAACCATCGGCGGGCCGGGTTGTTCAAAGTCCGATTAAGCTAACCCAGGGTTAGCAAGAATTTCTACTTCAGTATTGTAGCTTTTTGGAGAGGTTTTCTGTTTATATTGCTTGTCCTTCAGTTTTGAGTTTGAATAATCTCAACTGTACAAAATATGAAGAGTGAAAAACACTTTTATACAAGAAAAATTAATACTTTGGTTGACTTTAAATTCTGAGTTAGCGTTATCAGGCTTTTGAACAACCCGGCCCTGATTTGTGATTTAGCTTAGTGTTCTCTCGTTGGGATTTTTATGTTAGAAATTTTTCATTTCGGGTCGCTCAAAATGGGTTCTGGTTTGATTGTCGTCATGTGCTTACTCTCTTACTGCTCTCGTTGTGTTTTTAGGCCATCAATTTGCATCCTTCGGATGTCAACGGAAAGGTAAATTGTAATTTCTCTTACTATAAATAAACGAATAATCTTTTAGGAAAGCCATACTGAGAAAGAACCCTTTATCGGCCAGACTTTGTTTTAACTTGGTGTCGTTTATCGTTGTAATCTTTAGGCTGACCCATATCTTGTGGTAACACTTGGTAAACACAAAGTGAGGGACCGAGACAACTACGTGTCAAAACAGCTCAACCCCGTGTTTGGAAGGTAAGGGTGGCTATCTGAATGACTTTTTAAGTGATTGCTATGTTGGGTGTCATCAAGTCTTTTTTAGGACCACCGTGTACCTGTCCGAATAAAGCCTGCTCTAACTGGTTCTCTAAATAGTTTTTTCGTGTCTGAAACTGACTCTATCCATAAGAACAATTGTAGCTAGTGAGAATGGAGGTCTAGCATAGCTTCGGGGCTACTGATTTTGTTTTAGAGTCTTCCATATTTCTGCGCAGATTTTTATTCCAATTGATTTTAGTTTCTTTCAGCCTGCCTACCACACAATGCTGCAGATATTAGAGTTTTTAACTACACCGAGTCCTCCAAATTTTTTTACGTTTATTTGTGCATATTTTTTGCTTATGACCTACAAGCCACTGACCTTGTATATGACTTGAAATGTTTGCAGGTGCTTTGAATTCGAGGCAATCATCCCCATGGACTCCGTATTAACTGTTGGTGTGTATGATTGGGATTTGGTGGGAAGTGATGATCTTATCGGCGAAACTAAAGTTGATCTTGAGAACAGGTTCTACAGCAAACATCGGCCCACCTGTGGTCTGCAGGAGAGCTATGCCACGTGAGTGTCAAACGTTCTTTCTGATTCGCTAAGCCACGGCTACAAGCTTCTTTAATCACATTATCTTTTCATTATAGACGTTTGCATCTGTAGGATACGATATATTTCCTTGCTTGAAAGGAAAAAAGTTATTGAGTCCGTTCCAATACCCTAGGAATCAGAGAAGTCTTATCGATATACCTCTTTGTTGCCGGCACGTACACTGTACTAGGAGGATTGCTCCCCACCCGGGATGGGATGCTAGTTTATTACTTATGTACGGGTTATCACCAAGTGAATTTATCAGGCTGTTTCTCAGAGCGAAATTCACGTTTTACTCGAAAATGAAATATTTCTACGAAATAAGATGATCGGTGTCAGTGTTACCTAGAACATGTGAGAGATCACCTATTCAGAAGTAGTAGTTTTAAATTAAGAATTTTAATTACTTGACATGTAAGTCAGAGGAATATGTATTATTCAGTACTCAAGCTGTTTTGAGGTAAGATCTTTCCTATCCAAGCCTAGGGATTTTTCAGGGACTTGTACCTCCGATTAGCCGTCGCTAGGTGGATGGAATAAAATCTACTTTAGTAGTTTGTGATTAGCTAATTTTAATGTGCTCCTCCTTACAGATTTGGATTCAACAAGTGGCGCGACCCAATGCGCCCGACCCAGATCCTCGCCAAGATCTGTAAAGAGGAGGGCCTGGACGGACCGCATTATTCCACGGGAAGAGTTCGAATTGACAACAAAGTGTTTGGTGCTACGTCACAAGTTCTAGAGGAGAGTGGTGAGTCTGATATATTTTATCCTCATTCAGTCTTCATTATAGTGGAGTTTAGGATGGAAGAGAGTCATCGATTGAATTGTTGGTGGAATATTGAAACCTTGCGCCAATTACAGTTTTCTTCGCGGTGTTATGTAGCTAGGTTGCCACGCGGCACTAGGAGAAGAGGCGCGTGACAGCCTACTTGACGAAGGACCATTCCGTGATCGCCCAATTCACGTCATTGGAGGGAACTTTATAAGTCAGCTTCGTGCGGCGTGGTTTAATAAGTACTGATTTCGCTTTGCAGGTCATTTCAGGCAGTCAGATGAACCCGTCGCTCTTAAAGCTCTTCGGGGTTTTCACACACTGAAGAGAGGATTCTCACTGGTGCCTGAACATGTGGAGACCAGATCACTGTACAACCCGGAAAAACCTGGAGTGGAGCAGGTTTGTATAGTCATTTAATGTTATGCGGTAATACAGTCAAACCTGAAAGTGGACATCTTTGGACCCTGCAAAAACTGTCCGCAAGGAAAACGTGTCTGCTTTTGGATGGTTTAAATTGTAGTCTTTAGTATGTTTACCACTGGCATATAAATAAGCCTTCTGGAGCCTTTCATTTCAAATGGTATTGACAGAACAAGGTTATGTATGCTAGTGACAAGTCATGAAGTAACGAAGAAGTCTCTTTTTGGCTACACTTGATCGTTGATTTTACAGTGAACTGATGTCTGTGTCTGTGTCTACAGGGTAAAATTGAGATGTGGGTCGACATGTTTCCTATGGATATGCCTTCTCCTGGTGCTCCTGTAGACATCACTCCCAGGAAACCCACAAGGTAAGGATTATCCACAAACAAGCTGAAACCTTTTATTTGTTAACGCCATTTAGAAAAACGCGAAAGTATGGCGTGAAATACCCAACAATTACCAAGACGTTTATTTAGCATTGAGCTTCTATAGTATAGTTCGTTCGCACTTCGTCTCCTATGGTATACTTAGTTCGTACTTTGTCTTCTGTTCCGATACCTTAACCTATAACTTAAGAGTTAGTGACTGTTCGCTTGCCATTCCACAGCCCCTCACTAATTATTGTAAAAGAAGTCTGTCCTACAGCGGAGCTGTACTGTGGAATAATTTACACGTATATATTCGTCAGTCACCCTCTCTTGATGAATTTAAATCTAAGTTGAAGAATTATGATTTTGATGGTAGTCTTATGTAAGTTTTATTTTGCTTTTATACA